CACACACACACACACACACACACACACACCATGAATCCATGATTGAGTATTGAAAGAGGGAAAACTATATATTTATGATTGATTTATACATGTTATGCTTAGCTAAAAATAGAAATGCTGTTATTAAATCACATGGTAGAAACTGTACATGCATGGCAATATATATTGTCACCTTGACAAGGTGTGAAGTTGAAGTACTTGAGGACGCTTTCCTTGATTGATTTCCCTTTTAGAGGGATTTCTTGCCTAGAATATTCCTTGTGCTTTTCCTTTATCTAGCTAGTTCCCCTTCTCAGCATAGACATAGAGATATTATTGACGCTTGAATTGGTCTATATGATTGGAAAGAAAGTGAACATTAAGTTTCTGAACATATTGTCATGCAATATAATGGTGGGAGGTGTTGAATTTCAATTTTCAGAGTAGATTGGCTACGGGTTTGGTCGATGAAGGATTGTGTAATCTTGTCTGTAAACGTCGACATTACAACGTATTTGAGATAGATTTTATAGGATCATCATTGTCTATCTTAATTGTCATTATCTTAATCATGTTTTAGCAAGATAGATTTTATAGGATCATCATTGTCGATGTTACAATATCAATTGGAGTATCGACATATTCACGACCATGTATCGACACTCTACCATATGATACCGAACCATCTTTTACCAAACAATATGTTCCGTAAGTAGAATAGCAATGGAAGTAAACATTTTTATAACGCACACATGAATTAATACATGCAGAGCAACAAGATAATCTTTCAACTAAACATTGAACATCAATGTTGTATATGGCGTACAAAGTGCTCGATTTGTTTGTTGGTTCAGAAGATTTTCAAAACCTAATATGGTCATCCTAAGATATGTAGAATATGGTAAGTGTTCAATGATGCTTTGGTTTTGTTTATGAAGAATGGTTTAGAGTACGAAATTAGTTTGCAACCCACAACCTAGCTTACAAAGCTAGCAAATTGTCTTCTTTGGTGGCGGATAGTGCAACATTGTCTTATATTGCAGCAGCTTGTCAATATTTTTGTCTCCAAAAGGTGCTCGTAGATGTGATAGATTGGTAGGTTGCGTTATTTACCTTATAACAAGCACCAGAAAATGGTTGCTTAAGTCCCAAACAAGATTTTGCAAAGCAACAAGTACTTTCCACCTAATGTGTTGCTTTTTCTTTGAGAAAACAAAACTGAAAACAATACGTCCTTCAGTTGGATTTCCTAAGTTGTTGTACTGCAACGATCAAGTGTCTAATCCAGTGAAGGTAATTATATGACTTTACGTGAGAAAGCTTCACAACAAGAATGAAATTTATATACATGATGCCTCCTTATCATTATATGATATGACAACAGAGGGGAAAAACCTCATATTAAGGAACTCATCAGTGTCGATGTCTTAGTAGAAGTAATTAGGAAGAGAAATGTTAACATCAGTCGCTATCTCATTGTAAATTCCACCTTCGCAACAAATAAGATCACCTCTTCACCTTAATTTACTAGCAAGATTATTAGTTCTCTAAATCAACCACATCACTATATATATATATATATATATATTTATATAGAACTGTGTCTTGTATGTATACCTACACATTAAGCCTCAAGCAGTGATTCTAGTACCTGAAGGGTGACTTAATCCTATGAGAGGTCTGAAATCTAAACTTAGGAATCGGGTCTTAATTAATAATAGAACTATGAAAAAGTCTGATGAATATTCTGGATGAAAGTCTATTCATAAAATTTAAAAGTTTTTTATTTTTATTTTTACTTCGTTGAATGCATGCATGACTCATGAGCATAAACATAAAGGTTGCTTTCTGGTAGGGGTCCTCGTCGCCTGTGAGTCTGTGACATTGTTCATGAACACCTGGACCGACAGCAGAGAGAGAGAGAGAGAGAGGGATAAGCTTAAAGGCCTACCACTTCAACTATACTAGCACTCATTAATTAATAGGGTTTGCATCAACTTCAGAATTGTTTCTTTGTCTTGTTTGGTCACATAAATTACAATTTGAATGTGAAACAAACAGACGAAACTTCTATACAGGCTCTTAATTTTTTTTCTTCTTTTCTCAATTAATTAAAGGCCCCATTTTCGCTTCCACATATGAGTACAGCTGCAAATACTGCAGTTTGCAGGACATCAATGGGTGGACCTAACCCTCTAGCATATAGAGAGCTGCCCCCCTCCCCCCTTTGGATATTAATGCCACCAACCAAAAACTAGGATGTGATCAGTGCCCCTCATTGGGAAATAGAGAAATGGGACACATGATTAAGTTTGATTATTTGCTTTGTATGTTTAGGTTGTGAGACGGTAAATTTGGACTATACATGAGATTTTAATCGGCTAACAACATAAATCTGCTAAGAGAACGTTATTATGAATCAAACTAATTTTGGTAAAGATTTAATGATGGCGACTTGAAATTTTATGCTACCCAGCCCACATGGGATGGTATATATGGAAAGACCATGAAAAATATTTGGTAGCATTTTTTTTTATGGGACGGAAAATATTTGGTAGCTTGAGTGAGCTTTTGATTTAACGTGATAAACCATTTATGATATTAAGCAGGAGGAGGGCTGCAACTTTCATGGCTACAGACATTATGGTTGTGGATGGGGGTTGGTTTTATCGCTGCAACTTTCATGGCTACAGACATTATGGTTGTGGATGGGTGTTGGTTTTAAATGTGAATGATATGGTGGCCTGGAAGGCCCTCATCTCCACCACACGGTCCTGTACAGATGATACGAAAATCACAGGAGAACATTCAATCCTGATCCACCAGTGTTTTGGACCACTGCATGCCATTGTTATGGTGCAATAATGGCCTTTTTCTTATGTGGTTACAACTAGAAGATAAGGAAACGAATCTAATTTCTTCTTCCAGCTTGAATCCAGATGGCAAAAGAACTCGTTTGAATTCGAGTAATTTTTCAGTGTGAACGTTTAGCTAGCAATAATTTCTCCAAGCTGTTAATTGAGGACTTGGCTCTAATCAACAAGTTTAGCTTAAACTTAACATTGAGTTTTTTGTTTTGTTTTTTTCCTTTTGTCACACTAGATAAAACCACATCCATGCTAATGAGAAAAGTTAAATACCTATCCACAAATGTAATAACTACTGTTCAAAATCATACTATGATTCAAAATCTTCACATTGTTACCTTCATTTGAAAAAGCGCTTATAAGACCCCATTTGTAAGTCCTCAAAGAGGCCTTGTTATGCCCTATTCATGGGATGAGGTACCATAGATCCCAAACCTCTACATTTAGAGATGATGATTTACCCGCATTTTATTATATCCAAACTATTCTAATAATCTATCATCTTAAAACATGACATGTCATTAAACTTGGTGTTATTGTCTTTTTCCCAAAACTCATGCACGTTAATGCCAGTTTGAGCATGTTTCTTTCTGTCTTGCCCCCTGAAATTTTGTGCTTCAGTACTGCCCTGATATGGGATCTTCAATTTTGAATGGTTTTGGGTAACTGCCTTGCTATATGGGGCCTTCAATTTTTAATGGCTGTGGTTCGCACCCTCCTATATGCAGAGATTCGATTATCATTGTATTTTGTTCATAGAATCATAACCACTTATATATGGATATTACATATACCAATTTGACAAATGTCGTATAATCAAGCTTGTTTTGATTATATTAGGTTTGTCTGCTCTACCTTGGCTTATGACAACCTAATGTTTTGGAATCAATGACTTAACACCATCAGTGGCTTCACTAAAACCAAAGAAACAAGCATCTGGATAATTGTGAATGGTTATTCGTTGATGGTACGTATTTGCTCCTCATCGATCACGGTTTCAACACTGAAGGACAACGCTCAAAAACTAATGTTACCGGTTTAACGCGTGAGCTTTGTAAAAAAGACAAACACCTCCAAGTTTAATGATGCGTCATGTTTTAAGACGTTTGATTATTAGAATGGTTTGGATTTAATGAAATGTGGGTAACTGCACAACCTCTAGGCCATGATCCGCGATAGCCTCCTCTCCCCCTAAACTTTTTTTTCCTTTTTTTTAAAAAAAAAAAGCGCTTATAATTAATTTTGTTCAGAAACCTTTTTTTTTTTTTTTTTTTTTCCATTCTCAGCCTTGTAGTGAAAGTTGAGGCGCTGTCTTTTCCACTTTAGTACCAACCAATTGTATGCTAGTCATACGTAGATGAGGATGAATTTAAGTCTGTAATAAGTTGATTCCATAAATTTATAGTAACTGATGTAAACTAAGTTTGATGCTTCATGCAATTTCATGACCACTTGCAAAACAAGCACTGGAGCCCCCAAGTTCTATTGGAACTCTAGTTGAAATTTATTGCATTAGATGCAAGAATCAATTCTGGGGGCAATTGAAATTCATTGCACAACAACTACCACTAAAGAAAATACAAAACATGTCCGGTTTATAGCTTTAGTGATGAGACCACGAACTTCACATCCATGAAAAATGTTCAGTTCTTGCTTTCTCTTGAATGTGAAAAAGAAAAAACCTAAAACATTTTAGCACTATATTGTGACTTATTTGTGACCAAGTTTGCTAGCCAAAGGACTATCATAGTAGCACGCGTGATGTAGGGGCATGATCAATTACACAATTAGGCGGGGCCGAGTGAGAGCTATTCACAACCCTCAAGGGCAAACAGAACGTGGACATCCTGTAACTGCATGTGCACCTGAACCATAATGACAAGAAACAATATCTAAACCATAAACCTATTCATTAAAGCTTGACACATGCATGTAAGAACTATTTGCGTTACACCAAGCCAAAAAGTAATTCTAACTTCTAATGGCCATCCATCACCTATCATAAATTTATAATTTAGCAATTTAATGCAATCTAAATATGGAACTTTGCTCATTTTATGTAAGAGAAATTCTTGGATCCGACTGCCGGATCATGTCACCCATACGATTACACAGACAAAGTAACGAAACCCCCTGATTTTGTTCGGCTGTGTACGGCAGACACACAAGAACTGCTCATGCAAGTCAGATCAAGTTAGTGGACTCTTGCCTATTGGTGAAAAATGGAGCAATCATTGGCATGGGCTGATATTTGGGACTAACTAGGCTTCTCAACCAGGCCTATACCCAAGCCCACTTATAAGTTCCATACAACATCTTGGAACAAGTTGAGGTGTTACAAATCTTGGTTGAATTGAAAGTAATAGTATAATGTTCATCGATTTGAAACCATTTAATTTTAGCAAAACTCAGTGCTGATTGGATTGTAGGAGTCGTTCTACCTTCATATTAGCCACATGAAGAGTCCATATATGACACCCTCACTGTAGAATTTCGTTGGATTTGTAGAGTTTGAGATTCAATCCAATCCATGTCATGTGAAATAAAGAGCATGTTGCATTTACCAATTTTTTACAAAACAAATAAATATCCAAGAATTAAGAAACTATCATAAAATTAAATTCAAATAAAATTAATGACATAAAAGCTGAAATGTAGAAAAGGTGAGTCGATCATACGATGTACTAAATATAATTCACCAGATTTTAAAATTATAGATAAACTAAAGCCTTTGGTGAACATTATGTTATATGATCATGATGAGGGGCAAAGAGCTTTTGGCTGATCCACTCTGAAGCTAGTAGGCTCACATGAGGCAACAAGTTCAATCAACTCTCCTTTTCAAGAATTTCCACAAGAAACAACCAACCCACAAGACATCATCAAAATACAAAAGCAGTTTCTTACATCACTTAAAAGCAGAGAAATTTCTCAGAAGTTCACCAGTACTCTTTTGACTTCACAGAAATCTGTCACGTTAGCCTTAAGAAAATGAGAAATCTTTCAAGCCTATGTTCTCCCACATACTATGGAACACAACGCTAAATTTAGATACAAACATTACTCTCACTGGTTATTGTAACTCTTTACTCTTAAGATCTACTATGATGTCATTGAGCTATCTGACTGAAGTGAACTGCCTTGCCCTTCCACATAGGGTCTAACGAAAGTTCTCCGCCACCAAACTTCAAAGGCCCTCTGAAGATTTGGGCAGCTATCACCAGCCTTCAGAAAACTGCCCAACCAAGACAGCAAAATACTTTGCTGGTCCTCTAGAGGCAGAGTGAGGATTGTCCTACCAATTCCTTCTTCCACAACCTTCCGGTCAAATGACCGGCACCCATGTTGCAGCCAATTGTAGTCATTGATCAATGGCTGTAACCAGGTTTGTAACAACAGTTGGCGGGTATCCTTAGATGGCAGCAGCTCCCCTCTACCAATGCCAACAAACAGCCTTGCCGTAATACAGCTAACATGGTAACGAGACACAATAGGCAGCTTTGTATGCAAGGATGCCAATTCTTGCTGGCTAGCCCACATTACTCCAAATTCGTCTGCTGCTTGTTTGTCAGCCAAAATCTCAAGCAACCATGAGAGGTTATCAGAAGCCAAAGCTATTTGCTTCACCACAGGTTCTTTGTTGTCTACCGGTTTATCAGCACACACTGGTTCTGTAGCCTGCTTGAACAGGGACAAAAGCAAGTTCAAACAGTTTCTGCATGAGTTATACAGTGTTTCATGGCAGACATCAGCTGAACCTGTAGAGCTTGAGGCACTGTTGTTCTCCTTAAGGAGCTTCAGCACAACGGATTTCATTTCACGCCTGCCTCTCTCCTCATTGCTTGCGAGAACAAGTTCAATTATGTGGGAAAGTGTGTCCTTAGGGGGTTTAGAAATGTCAGAGGAGACTCGTTTCAATACTGGAGTGACCCCAATACCCTCACTCTGGAGTCGCAAGACTGAGGAGACTACTTTTTCTTCTTCTTCATCCCCAACCCATGGGACTGCTTCCAAATATTCTAAACATGACTGCATGCACGAGTTGAAGGCAAGAAGTTCTGCAATCTGAAAAAAGGTGCCACCCAGATTCAGGTTAAGGTTTGATATATCTAAGATCAATTTATGAACTATAGAAGTATAACAGGGCCCAAGAAGAAAAAGAAAATACAGGTAGGCTGACAAGAAATAGAAAGCCTATTCAATGACTATATCTATGGGATTCTACTTATCTGCATTCAAACCGGATTTCAAGTCATCATAACCATTCAATTAAATCTGATGGTCAGGATCAATCTACATCAGCATAAGAGAAGATAACTTAAAATACACTGCATATTGATACTGGCCATTGGCTAAAATGACTTGAAATTGAGCATAATGCACACTCCTAAACATTGAGGAGTTCAACCCCTATCAATGAGATTAATGAAAAAAGGGAAAGTAGTAAAGATGTTCCAAACCTTAAAATCTAATAAGTGTATCTCCATATTCTTTCCTACTTTTTTTCAGTCTATTTGTTAGTCATAAGGATATTTTCATAAAGAGAAGAGCTACTAGCATGCCAAATTGAACCAAAATAATAATAATAATAAATAATAACACAGAAAAGTGCATCACTATAAATAAATGAATCAGATAATGTGGAAGCACAATAACATGAGAGAAAGTCTTCTACAATCGTTAAACAATAAGCTACACTATTGTAGCTTATATCAACTACAAGTCAGTCGCGTACATACTATGCAATGAACAACCTAACCAACACAAGAATTTGTAACAAATGTACGTCCAAAACAGGAGGGATTTGGCCATTCCATTCAAAGGCTAGAGGCTCTAAAAGTGTAATGTCTGAACTACTCTAATACTCATAAAAGCATGAAAAGTATAACAAATGCAAAATATATCATAATACTGAAACAGCAGTTGAAGAAAGACTAAATTAATTGATTCATAGTTTTGGCATTAAAGCATAACCCACAACAAAAACAGCATAATTGCAATCCGCAGAGATATGAGATAACTCATACATTACACAGTTATGCTGATTACCTTCAGAATACGGAGTACACGAGAGACACTCTGTTTCATCAGCCGTTGCCTCATGTCTTTGCAATACATCAATCCGACGGTTTCAACATATATTTCAACATCATCACATTCTTCAATTTCAAGACAGGATGAACCAGATTGTTGTTCAGAAAGCTTGTCGGCAAAAAAGTTGCTATGCTCCACTAGAACATTCTTGTGAACGCTCAACTTAACACAAAATCCTTGCTTTCCAAGTAGAACCACCTTCATATCACTAGTTCCAGGTTCACCAAACTCAATTGCAACTTTCCTTGGCAAATTTTCAACTTTGGGCCTCGGGACTCTCTCGGGAACCAGAGATGCACTCACCGTGGGTGCATCAGGCGCCTCAGGACCAAAAGCTCGTTGACCATCATTAATACTCCCTGATCTCGATGGGGTAAAGGCTAGCTTTTTTTCACTAAGTGGTGTTTGTTTCCTCTGAGCTGTTGTCTTGGGTGGTGGTGGTGGGGGGGATGATGGCTTGGGTT